TTAAACTTCGTGTGCTTCATTTTAGTGTTTTAAAGCAGAATACTTTTCGACATTCTGGGTGTTTAGAGCACAAAGCCGACAGTTCTTACAAAACAAATGTGCTTCTTTGGCTAACATGTGAAATACAGCCTTGGCAACAATAGCCATGCATTCATATCCGAGAAAGCACAAAAAAATTACCAAGAAAGCACATAAATGCTGAATAATTCTGATGTATGATCCCTATAAATCTAATAAGGAGAGTTTCTCCCAGTCAGTTATTTGGCACATTCTTAAAAACTGAGATAATTGGATCTACATTCTCATACATGTCCTACTAGCAGAGTCATGATTAGTCATTGCAATCCATCGTAGGAGCGCTAATCACTAAACATTAGCTTTTAGAGGCAGATTTTCTTGAAGTCTTTGTGCAAACTTACCCTATCTAAAAAAAATCACCTTCACACTTCACATTCAACAGGTACCCTTTGCGGGAATGACAAATGCACAGTAAAAAAAAAATCAGATAAGAACTAGAGAATCAGCATCCTACAAACAAGTATTTCAAACGTGATGTATGTGAACACTGATAAATGGAGCATTGCTGGATAAATGAATGCAAAGTTCATTAGGAATGGAAGCCAACTAATTATCCTTCAAATACTGGTTGTTATTATTGCAAATACACAAGAAGAATATTTTTACAAAATGATTTCTCCTTTAGTGGTGCAAAAAACAGCATACAGAATTGAAACAAGGATGATTTAAGGAATATTTAACCAAAAAAGCCTATTTTTATTCTGTCATTTGCATAAGACTTTTTTGCTGGAAACCTGTAGCCATTGATTTCCATAGTATTGCAAAAGTTCACACTTAGCTGATGATTGATTATAAAGCTTGTTTGGCATGAAGTCCTGGGAGAGTGCCCTGAGCTCATAAAATCGTCGAGCCCGGGGCTCCCTACCGTTTGCAGGGCGAGAGGGGAGTTTGAGCTCAGGTAGGTCTCGAGAACTCCCCTGCTGTTTGTAGCTAATTACCAATTAGGAATTGCTATGAAGAATAGAACTGCTGACTAGGAGCACATCTATGGTGCCAATTTGGATTAGTCAATTAACTTAAGTCGCATGTTTTTGGATAGTGGGAGGAAAGGGGGAAACCCACACGAGCACAGGGAGAACATGTAAACTCCACACAGAAACGTTGGCTGGCTTGGTAAGGACTAGTACCACTGACGTTCTTGCTTTGAGGCAAGAGTTCTAATCTAGGAAAGGAGTAGGGGTGGAAGGGGGGATTCTTCAAAACGAAGATGACTATGGTATGGAACCTATTTGTTATCTATAATGGCTTAGGAATAGTCTGATGGTGAATCGTGTATTGGCTAATGTGGGACCAGCCGTGGTCATTCATAAGCATGTGATCCTCTTGAAAATAGTTTATAAATAAACTTCACTTATTTTGTTCCTACTGGGATGTCAATGGTCACTAGTTTACAACAATCTACAAAACATATATTTTTCTGTTGAACAGAGAGAGAGAGAATAAAAGGTTTAAATCCACTTGTAAATTAGTTTACATTTAGATTTTTTTGGGGGGGTGAACCATTCCCTTAATATTTATTTTTAGGAATTTAACCAAACTATGAGTATAAATTAGTTATCCTGACTAGGGTTTTGCTAAGGCCTCTGTTAAAAGGGTAATTCACCAAAAAATGAATATGAACAAATCATTTACTTACTCTTGTGTGTTTTCAAACCTTTATGAGTTTATTTTTCAGTTGAACACGAAAGATTATTTTGAAGAAAGCTGAAAACCTGTAACCATTGACTTACATAGTAGGAAAAACAAATACACTGGCTGCGTTCGAAACCGCATACTTCCATACTATATAGTATGCTAAAATATGCATGAGAGCTGAGTAGTATGTCCGAATTTATAAAATTTGAAAATCCGTATGCGAGTACCCGGATGACTTACTATTTCCGGCAAGATTCTGAAGTGCGCATCCCATGCATGTTGCGCTATCCCATAATTACCCGCGGGAGAATTCATGAATGGAAGTGAAGCGATGCAACTGACACAGGTAGGTCAGGTGACCATGACAACATGGCGGATGTAGTACGTCCGAATTCCATTCATACTTCTCACATTCATACTGTATAGAACGTACTTTTCTGACGGCAGAGTAGTACGTTTAAATTCAAATGCAGTACCTGCTGAGTAGTAGGCGGTTTCGGACGCGTCCTATGATACTAATACAAATAATATGGTCACAGGTTTCTGGCGTTCTTCAAAATAATCTTTTGTGTTCAACAGAAACTCAAATAGGTTTTAAACAATGAATAGTAATTAAATGATAACAAAATTATAACTTGAACTATCCTTTAATAATTACTGGTTTAGGGCTCATTCACACTGAATGCATCTTTGCTTATAAAACAAAAGAAGCAGCAATTTGTAACGTTTTTGAACTCCTCTGAATAGTCTAGGGCAAATTTAGGGCTGAAAACGCCGGTTTTAGCTAGATGCAAGACAACATTTATCACATGTGCATTGCTTAAAGGCTGTTTAGAAGAAATCATCAACACAGGCATACATTCTTTTGCAGCAGGGGTAAGGTTTATTAAGTATTCATATTTAAGGTTATAAAGTATTTATGATGAAAGTTACTTTTTATAAGAGCTTATGTAAGTGATTTCAGCTCATCCACCAGAGCCCCATTTCAGAAAGGAGTTTAAGTGAAAACTTACGTTATTACCCTGAAATGAGAGAAACTCTGGGTTTACCATTTCAAAATGGCTAGTTTGTCAAATTCGAGAAAGCTGGGTAAGTCAAGCTTACCGTGATACTTTGTGAACCTAACCTGGTCAGGAGCAGGGTTTATTCTTTAAACTCTTGAGTTTCTGTCTGTCTCCTCCCCTTTTTACAGCCGAATCAGTATTTATTGCCTTAGCCTTACTCATTCATTGCCTACATTTAAGTCACACAAAGAACAAAGTTAAGAGAATGGCTTGTCCTTTTTTTTTGGAAATTACAATTTGATTTAATACTATAGTTTTACAGTAAGTGTTACCTTTGATATTACTGCAAAAAATAAATAATTAGCTTAAATTCACTAACCTTCGACAGGGACATGTGCAGTACTAGATTAATGGCATTATTGCTCATTCTAAAAACATTTTTTTAGTTTAACTCACATTTTAAATGTCACATTAACCTCTACAACTTGATCAATAATAAAGGCAGACACACAAGTGCACTTTTAAATCTTTAAAAAACTTTTTTTTACATCTTTTCTAACATTTTAGAAATGTTATCCTAAACTGGCCAACATGTGTAAAAGTGTGAACCTTAACTCAAATATTTCCACTGAACATTAAGCTAAGATTATATGCACTCTAGTTTTGTCGAATTTGTTGTAGAAACTATTGGCTAGAGTAGCCTATTTTATGTAATCTAATGCAATTTCATCTGAAATAACCTCAAAATTATGGCCAATTCCCCACTTTTTTAAAAGAAAAGTTGATAAACGTCACGCATTGCATTACTTTTTTTATTCTACTTAAATCTTTGAATGTTTTAAATGTAAACTTGCGCATTAACTTGAGCAGCTGTTTTCCCACACTGTCTCTGTTTCACTGATGCAGCAGTGTTGCTTTTTTTTTAATATATGGTCATATTTTCTATAACTTTGCATGAGCACATCAAGTTCAGCTGGAGAAAGAAATGCTGATCTCTTTTTTTTTTCAGATATTGCCATAGTGACTCATAATAACTGAGCTCCATTGATAATGCCTTTTTATAGTCGTGGTGTGTGTGCTTAACTTAGACTTGATTGGCTTAACTCCGATCAGCTGTTCTGAAACCGAAAACTGAGTTTTTAATCTCTCGGTAAATCAACTGAGAGTGAAAGTTTAAAACTCCAAGTTGGTTGAACCTCCCTACTGAAACCGGCCCCAGTTTGCAAACAAACGTCAACATCTTGCATTGCCTGCTTTTATAGCAATTGGTTGTCACCCGGCATTTGCATATGCACAACATTTCTGATGCTCTCAGCTGCTGTCAATGCTTTGTTTGTGCTGCTTTCAATCCTATAATTAGGCCTATGAGGAATCTGCGCAAGCAGAATTCCGGCGATTTTTAGCCCATCATTTATTCTGTTAATTTACTTGTGTAAATGTGTGTAATATACTATATTTATTCAGTTTTTAATTAACTTCAGAAATTTTATTGACTAATATGTAACTGTTAATCTGATTTATTTACAATACAGTCTATACAGTAATATTTTCTGTCTTTTAGTAGAGATATTCTATGAGAGACGTGCTTTGTTTACCAAATAAAGTTAATTTAAGTGGATTTGCATTTTAAACATAAATAAAAGTTTAAAAGATATTATTTTTTATTTTACATATGAAGGTTTTAGTTATGACACTCCCAAAATCATTCCACAGAAATACGCAGATGTTTACCAAAATTTTCAGCAGAAATAGCAAAAAACATCGCCAGATTCCTTTTGGCCCTACTTTTAATGCACTATGTGAGAACTTACTCTAAACTTCCACATGAATCAATTGAAAATATTTGCTGCACTTACAGAAACAATAGATAAGTAGCACACTGAAAAGGAAAAACTCATTCTGTGTGAACAGCCCCTTAGTGCAGCAACTTAGTTGCTATTCCTTTATACTCATCAGAGTAAGAATGTTAGTACTCAATTTATTGGTTTAGGAGTAATAAGTAGGCCCACACAGAATCTGTGCGCGCAGAATTCTGCAGATTTTTAGCCCATCACTGATTCTGTTGATTTCTACTTGTGTAAATGTGTGTAAATTTATATTTATTCAGTTTTTTTATTAATTTCAGCAATATTACTGACTAATATAAAAATATTCATATGATTAATTTACAAAACAATGTGTAAAGTAATATTTTCTGTCTTTTAGTAGATATATTATAGAAGAGACTGGTTTTGTTTACCAGATAAAGTGGATTTGCATTGTAAACAATAAATAAAAGTGTTATTTTTTTATTTGATACAGTATATTAAGTTTATTATGACTCTCCCAAAATCACTCCGCATAAATCTGCAGATCTTCAGCAAATTCTCAGCAGAAATAGCAAAAAATGCCCGGAAATACCTTCTGGCCCTAGTAATAAGTCATGCTCATTAATGGATTTAAAAATGTTCTAAACGATTTGAGCCATTATGTTACTTTCGCCATGTTGCTAACCTTACCACTGCTTTCCAATATCCCAAAATGGCACCCTTCAAAGACATGTCAGCCAAGCTGACGCCAGGAGATTCACAGGCCATAATGGTTTCTGATTGGCCTAAAAGCAATCGGACCATTTTTAACTGTTTGCAGAGTCAAGGCTGGCAAATGACATCCCAAGACACCAATTTCAGTGACATCTGTCGGGTCGCAGGATATTTCATGCTTGTCTCTCTAAACTATTGCACATAGTACCTTAAAACATCCTGTCTTTGTGGAAAATAAACCCATTTTGGCACTTGTTGCACATATCTCAAGGCAAAAAATATATAAACTCAGAACGGTCATCCTTGCACAAAGGCACAAGAGACTGAACTTAAAGCACAATCCAAAACTACAGAAAGAATAGTGAAAAAGAGCAAAAACGTAGAGTTAGCACTGCTAATTGCACACACAAATACTATTAACCTCCATACTCCTCCTAACAGACAACACACTGACACTTCCTTCGCTTTTTTACCACATTAGTCCCATTGGCTGCCATTTTATCATTCTCCCTGTCCTGCACAATAACAGCTTCTGAACCCTTAGCCAGACCCTGTTCTGTTAGTCTGTCCTCAGGAGACGAAGGAGTGTTTTGATCTGATTCATCCGTTTCCTCTCTCATGTTTTGATTTATTTGAACACCTCCCGTCCCGTCACCTGATTTCCCCCCTTTCCCTCCCACGGCACCTGAGATCCTCCCTCTTCCTCCCCCGGCACCTGAGATCATGTCCTCTGCCCGCTGCTGTGCATCCATCTCCGATAAGCTGTAGGCCAGCGCCATCTGCAGGTCTTCATCTTCCTCGTCTTCGTTGGCACTGGGGCAGTGGTAGAACGGGGCAGCGCTGTAGGATCGTAAAGCTGGGTTTGGAGAGCTGTGATTGTTGGGGCGGAGCAGTGGCTGATGGGACTGTCTGGGCGGCTCACTGGACTGTTCTCTGCGACTCAGTTCCAGAGCTAAAGCCATCTCGTCCTCCACACCTGAACACACAAACAGCTGAACGTCAGGTCAGTTTTATTAGTTCTACGCTGGTATAAATACTACAAAAAATACTACTATATATCATTTAGTTCAGGCAGAATTTAAAAAATGTACACTTTATATTCATAGTCAATGCAATTTTATATAATGTAAAATGAGGGAAATACAAAGTGATGTTTAATTTTAAACTAATTTCGAGAGGAGCATGTGCTCGTGATTGACCCAGCTGGTCCACATTAACTATTCATGATCCTCCAATCAGAGGATCCCAAGTCACTATATATATATATATCCTCCTTTCCTTTCTACAACAACTTTCGTCTAGAAGAAACCCCCCCTCCTCCCCTTCTTCCACCTTTATCCAGAATGGGCCAAATATCACGGTGGCTCAGTAACTAGCACTGTTGCCTCACAGCAAGAATACTAATGGCGTTGGGTCCTCGCTGTGCCATCTGGCATTTCTGTGTGCAGTTTGCATGTTCTCCCCGTGTCCGTGTGGGTTTACCACGGGTTTCCCGATTTCCTCCCACCATCCAAATGTGCTCTATATTATAGATAAATAAGCCTAAATCTTTTTTCCAATGTCTTACTCTCAGGAAGTTCGCCTTGGCACCTGAGCTAAATCTCCCTTCACCCTGTGAACGGGGGGAGCTCTGGGCTCGAGGATCTCTTGAGCTCAGGGCTCTCTCTTGGGACAGCACGCCAAACAAGCTATATACAATTCATGAGCTAAGTGTGAACTCTTGAAATAGGGATTTCATTATAATCTGGCAGCAAATATCAAACAGAAATATTACATTTGCTGCTGTAGGAGATGGCACTGTTGGCTTTTTTTTTCTTATAAATTACTTGTGCATCAAATGATGAAGACTAAACATAACAAACATCCAGTAGCTTTCAGTGGATTTGAACTCAATACTGTTCTGGAGGTAATAATAACAAACCACTTTGATGACTTTAGCTAAATGGACTTTGCAATGAGCAAAACAACAGTTCAAATATTGTGCAATGTGGGCTTTTTTTTTTTTTTCTTGTGATCTGTTAAAACAAAATCACATGACTTTTTGATGTGCATTCTGGAATTTATTCATCTGTTTCCATCATCATTTATGCAAATTTTTGTTCTTATTGGATAAAAACTTTTAAAAACTTATGCACATCTTGCTGTTTAAAGAGCCCCTATTATTGGTTTTTGAAAATGAGCTTCCATGCAGTGTGTAGCACAGCTCTAAGTGAAGTGAAATATCCAGCTGAGGTTTAAAGCTGAAAGTGCACCGTGTTTAAATCTATTGATTCTTTAGCGAAATAGTCGACTCAGAGTTAAATAACTAAATCGAGTTAGGTTCAGATTTTTTGCTTGAACAAGTCGACGTTGACACGGTACATCACCAAATATGAAGTACCAGATTTGGTAAAATGTGATCACGCCTTTCCCTTCAGACACTAGCGGAGCACAGGAGATCACAAGACTGATCATGACACAAAGATGACGATGAGATGATTTTTGATACAATAACCTACCCTGCAGCATGTATTTCGCCGGCCGTGTTCTATTAAAGAAAGCAGCAGCAGAAGCTATTATGTATGGGACTTTGTCAGTAACTGTTACAGTTTATATGGACCAGTTTCTTCTTCCTCTGGATCATAACATGTAAGTGTGATTAAAATTGTTGCCTCGTTTTCTGTATTTGCAAACTATGTCTTTAATTGTGTGCTGTAACTTGGACTGCGCAGCTTGTAATCACTTATCTATTATAAGTCAGTGCTTGTACTCTATCTCTCAGGTTAAACCTTCATGAAGTTATTCACATATGGGGCCCTATCATACACCTGGCGCAATGTGGCGCAAGGCACAATACTCTTTTGGTACTTTTAGCTCAGCGCAAGGGTCATTTTGAGGTGTTGCGCCATGCTGTTTAAATAGCAAATGCATTTGCACTCAAATGTGAGCCCACAGGCGTTCTGGTCTTAAAAAGCAGGCGTGTTTTGGCGCGTTGCTATTTTGAGAAACTGTAAATAGTCTGATCTTTAGACCAGAACAAAGTCGGTCTATTGTCTGGCGCAAAGTGCGCCTGGCTTACACACTACAAACAAGATGTAGAGCAATACGCAAATAGCTTTACATATGAAAAATCTTAAGGATATATATATATATATATATATATATATATATATATATATATATATATATATAATAAGGATATATACAGAATATAAATATAAATTATTAAAATATCACAAAACATATTAATTTCTAGCCTACATGAAGATTTAAAAACCACTGCCTTACTTTCTTCATCTTGGGAGGCTTTTTCAGTTCATTCAATTTGCTTTTGTATAATGTTATTATTATTAGCAGTATTATTTATTATATTCTTATTTATATATGTTTTATTAAAAACAAGCTTAGATTTGTCCACCTGTCAGGTTTTAGACCATATGGGGCATGGCAGGTGTATTTGGAAATAACTCAGTGTTTTGACCACACTTGGTCATTATTGTTCATTTATTCGTTTGCTGGAAATTAGAACTAAATTTAGAAATAGTTTTGAAACAAATCTTTGCGCTTAACAAACGAAATTAATTATTTATAGGCTAATTGAAGTCTGTGCGTAAAGGTTTCCCTATCCACGAGAGCAAAAGCGAAAGTGAACTTACTTTACGTCAAAATGCGCTTATGGCGCGACGCAGCTGGCTCTTAAAGGGAATGGGGGATGAGGCTCTAATTGGTTTATTCTCAAAAAACACCTATAACTCATTAAGAAAATAAACTCAACCCTTTTAGACCATGCGCCAAGGCGCCAAGCGGATTTTCCCGTCCTTAAATTAGCAAAAATGCATTCTGACACGCCCTGAAAGCGTTTGCGCCCTGCGTTTTGCGCTCTGCGCATGGACCGTCAAAATAGAGCCCATTGTGTCCAAAACCACGTTGAAAATGTGACGCATGCTTCTTCCTTTACTGATTTAAATGCGTTTCTGAACGCGCAATCCTCTGTCGTTTGTCTTGCTATGGCCACCATCAGCTGTTCACACGCATGGCGTGATCAATTTTCATAATAGTTCAAATTCGGCACTGTGTGCACATTAATGCTTAATTTGTTGTTATTATTGAGGTTAGGTTTAAAAGTAGAGTAATATGCTGGTGTTTAACTGCATTGCTTTATTGCATTCCTGCATTGCGCTCTCACATAATCTGCTACTTCATGGCCGTGGTGGGCCCATCTCTGTCTCTCTGTCTTGCTCTGAACCACAATCGATTAATCACAACAGACTGGGTTATCAGCCCATTGTTGTCGCGAAGTGAAGAGCGGAGCGGGGGCACTTCAGATCATTTTGGACGGGCACTTTCTATTCAAGACTAAAAAGGGCATGTGCACTGCACAGGTTGAGCCCTTTGTGTGCACGTGCCTGTTGGGTTAGGTATCTCATCTCATTTGTGTCAGTATGCTATTATGTTCCAAAAATACATCTGCTTAAACAGATGTTTTGAGCAAAACATTGAGCAAAAGTACATTGCATAAAACTTACAAATGGAGAATAAATTGTACTTGAAGGTTGAAAGAAAGTAAATAATAAAGGAAGAGTTTAGATGGCACTTAGAGATTTTTGCATCTGAAATTTTTATCTATGTTTTTTCAGGCTGTGTGCTAGGTTTTAGTAATTTTACTCTTATGGCAAAGGATGGGTTATTTTTGTTGACTTTAGAGATGGAATAACTGAATATACAGATGTTACTACTTCAAAATGTTCCTTTTGCCGCCATTCATACCGCGGCGACGGCGGCAATTGGTGCACCAAAACGAGTTCTCTTTGCACTTAAAAAGTTTACAATAAAGCATCTTAACATATTTTAAATGATTAATGAAGGAATTACAATGCTTTAACTTATTGTTTAATCTCATTTACAAGCACAGTAGCATATATGAAGCTGCTATATAGGCTATTTCTGTCTGTTCGCATCCCATCCCTTTGTGCCCCCTGGCGGCTATATCACAAACTGCGGTCATACACTAAAAACAGAGCGGCAGCAGTTTCAAACAGCGGCGGTATATGCCCCGGCGGTAATAGTCATTTTGAACTCTCACCTACTGTACTGTAAACATAGAAGACTGAGAAAAAAAAACATTTTGGGGGAAAATTAAAGATGACACTTTTTTTTTACGTTTTTGCATCTGAACTCCTCAAATAATAAATCATTTTAAAATGACTAATCAAAAAATTACTCAACAATGCTATTTTTACATACATAAGTAAGTGTTTTTCTCCTTCTGGAAGGATTTTATTAAACATGTTGGTCTCTTATTCTTACCAAGACTAGATTTATTTGATTAAAAATGCAGTAAAGCAGTAAGCATGAAGTAATTGCTTTGGAAACATTATTTTGTTTTCCTAGAGTAGGCTACGTATATTAGAATTGCAAGTGCATCGCCTTTTTTAGGCTGAGTTATAAAGTTGGAGCGGATAAAATCTGTTTTTAATACCCACAGCAGCATGCACATTAACTATAAAGATTTCTTTGGACTATATTATTAAATTATAGCAAAAAAAAAGTGAATTACCATTGATGAGGACACTTTTCAGAACCCCGTCCTCCTCAACCTCTGTTCTCTCTTGGCCATTTTCTCTGACCCTGAGGGAAGAAGTGCAGTGTTTATCAGATAATTGGAATTATATAAACAAACCTGAATTCCTGTGACCTTCAGTAAAAGTACTGACAAACTATAAAATATAGAAAAGTATCAACCGTCTTTTATCCTTTGTCTTTAATGTATTCTGCATTATTTAAGTTTACATCAGTTATTCCGTTTACTTATTTCATTGAAATGATTGCAGTAAAAATGTTAATAGTTAATAGTAACTTTAAAATAAAACTCTCGTGATTTACATGTTGGCTCAGTGGTTAGCACTGTCACCTTACAGCAAGAAAGTTGCTGGTTTGAGTCCCAGCTGGGTCAGTTGTCATTTCCGTGTGAGTTTGCATGTTATCCGTGTTTGTGTGGGTTTCCTCTGGGTCCAAAGACATGCGCTATAGGTAAATAGGGTAAGCTGAATTGGCCATAGTGTATAAGTGTGCATGTAAGAGTGTATGGGTGTTTCCCTGTACTGGGTTGTAGGTGGAAGGGCATCTGCTGTGTAAAACCTATGCTGGATATTTTGGTGGTTCATTCCGCTGTAGCGACCCCTGATGAATAAAAGGACTAAGCCGAAGGAAAATAATTGAATGAATGATTTACTCATCCTCAGAAAACAAATTAAATTGTTTTATCAAATCAGACAGGTTTCTGTTCACCCATTTAAAAATATACACCCAAAACTCAAAATATATGAACATGAAGAAACCAAAAAATAAATCACTGAAGAAACGTTTAGCTTTCTAAAACAAACATATTTAACTTAGGCTTTTATTTACATATGAATGCTAATTGCAACCTATTGTATGTACTTGATGAACAGGAACCAACATGGTTTATTCTTGCATTGTTTTTGAATGAAAGTCATTGAGTAAATTGTGACAGATTTTTCATATTGGGGTGAACTAAACTTTGAAATGATATTTACAATTACAATATAATATCAAATCAGTAAAAACGAAACAAACGTACTTTTTTGTGGTGAGACGTTTTCCATTGACAACACGGGTGGAAGTAGAAACAGACTTAAAGTTTGCCCCTCCCATGCTGCCCATCCCACCCAGTGAAGACGAGAAGGAGGTGAAATCAGCTGTTGATTAAAACAAAACAAATACATTTGTCATAAAGCAGTTATAGCTACACTCATACAGTAAAAACAACATGCCTACAACAAAGTTAGCAATGTTATAATATATTCTGGAAGAAGATAAAGCATAAGCTGTATGTACTGTATAAACAAATGAAACCATTTTTAAAAAACCAACCATTTGCTGAGGGAAAGGAGAAGAAGCGACTGGGCCCAAGTCTGGAGGAACTGTGAAAACCACTGTGCATTCCACCAAATGGGAAATCATCTAGACGAAAAGTATGCAGAGGGTTAAAGAGAGCATGGTAAGGGAGAATAATAAGCCTGTTCACAACAACTGGAGTAAAGGAAACTCTATAACAGAGAAAACACTCTCACCGTTACAGGAGATCAGCATATCTACAGATCACGGGCCAGAAATAGCACTACTAGCTTGCAACAAACTACTGTGACTTTTTTGCTACAAACTTCACAGGAAAGGCAGCCTTTGCAATTTCATAATTTACTCTTTAAGCCTAGTTCACACTACATGGCTTTAAACATTGGCAGTTTTCTGTGCCCTTCAGATATTATGACTTGATTTTGTGTCTTTGAATCCATGTGGTGTTCACACTACGTAATTTGATCCACAAGAGGACGGTTGCGGACTACAAGATATGACAACAACTATGTCACTTAACATCTCAGTCCAGCCCTCAAACCACAGTCAATGAAATGTTAAGGGCAGAGCCATCAGAAAGAGCAGATCCCTATCGGCTGATGTGTAATGATGACATGACTGTCACACAGCGTTTGAAAACTTCACTGAAAGTGTTCAAGGGAGCTTTTGAAAGCATCATCAAAAAGCAGATCTATCAGCGGATCGATCGCTTATGTATCTGCACAGTTCAGCTGATAAATATAGGTTTCATATACTCTCGTTACTGTGTAAACCCAGGGTGAAGCGAGTGCATCCATGAGCATTCTGGCCAATCACAGACTTTTCTGTTGAGGTCCTAAACACCAGGGGCCTCATGTATAATTGCTGCGTACGCACAAAAACTTTGCGTACGCCAGGTTTCACGCTCAGAATCGCTCACGTTTGGATTTACTAACGATGAACTGAACGTGGGAATGTGCGCAGCTCCACGCCAGCTTTATGGCTGGCGTACGCACATTTTTTGTGCGTGTCTGTTTTATTTCCATTGGCGACTCCTAGAGGCAGTTGTGTTAAATTGCAATCTACAAAGTGTCTGAGCCTTGCAATGGCAGCTGTATGAGACGGGTCCATCTAGCAGGTATATAAGGTTTCCATACCATACATTTGACCAGCTAAACATTAAAGCGCAATTTGCAGCTGTCGCCTGTTTTCCTAATGTAATGGAAGCGATCTACTGCACATACATTGCTATAAAGGCACCATGTGAAGATGAATTTGCATGCGTGAATAAATCAAAAACATTTCCATTCAATAAATGTGCAAATAAAATATGATGCACAAACTTATAAATGATTCCTACTTGTCTTTCTCGTGATAATTAGTAGGCAAAATCTGATATGTAGCGGGGGGAAAAAAAAGAAGAATGAGTTCATTAGACGCTGGATTCGAACCGAGTTCATGCTCGAACGTGTCAAAATATGTTTAACTTTCGTTTTTACGAGCTGCGCCACTGAGACTGTTGAGGATACTACAACATTTTACACATATAAATCACACTATTTCTTTTTAAAATCCACAGTGCCATGTTCAGACAAAACTCAGCTAAACTCTCCCACTCTATTTTTTTTCTTTTGTTGTTAATTCCGGAGAACAAACTTGCAAACAACACCGTTTCTCTCCGGTCTACCTCCGAAAGCAGCACCTTCAATTCACATTCTGTTCAAAGTTTCTCTTTTTGCTTGCTTTTGCCTTTGCTTTTTCATTGGGTTTTGCCAAAGTAGAGTCATTAGCATATTCATACATGGGAGGAGGCAGGGAGGGGTTTTGTGCTTGTGCATGTTGCGCTCAGTTTCACGTTCATTCTGATCTACAAAAGAATATGCGTGAGATTCGGCGTACGCAGTGTTCCATACATCTGAATTTTTTTCTGCGTACGCATATTTACAGCTTTGTGCGTACGCAATGTTTTAGTATGATTTCCACGCAAGTCTTCGTACATGAGGCCCCAGAACTGTATTCCAGTCCAATTTCAGTTATTTGAATGCCCTTCACTAGATAACTTCCCTCTGTATCTGTCAAAATTGAGGGGTGAGGATATGTCCATGTAAGCTTTCCTCATTTTACTTGATGATGTAAAACACAATTTATTATAGAGGCGGGTAAAATACCCAGAGGGTTTCTAAAAGTGTTGTGGAACACAGCCAATGGCCATTTAGCTCATGTCTCTCTCATTGGCTTGTCACTACAATTGAAACCCACGTGTGGCCAAGACGGCTGTTATGGAATATTAAGATGTCGGAGATGTTTTAAAGAGTTACTTTGATGCATCGATCAGAAGTTCACATATAAAGACTGCCGAGCGCCAACCACGCACTGATTTTCCAATTATCACAGCCTGATCTGCTAGTGAAATTGTTAAACTGTGAATTTGGCTTAAAGTCCTGTAGTGTAAACAGTAGTAAAAACTAAACCTTGCTTCCAAAATGATTTATTCTGTATGGTTTTGTGAAAAACATTGGCATTATTTTTTAAATTCCTTGCATTGATTTACTGTGAAAATATACACAGACAACAATATTGTAAAGAACCATTGGTCTCGGTAATCCACAGTATATAAAGCGACGGTCTCAAACTCGTGGCCTGCTGGACAATAGTTTGTGGCCCCCACCTTAATTTGCAAGTTTAATATCAGTGCAGCCCGCAAGTTTGATATGTACGGCACATTTCAGTGTTGTGTGCGGAGCTGAACAAACCTACAATCACGGTGGGGTATATGACTCAATGGGGCGAGACATCGGCTGGACTTGGTGTATGCAGAGAAACATTACTCAGTGAAAGTTACAGCAGCGTTGCCATGGAGTGTTTTCTCTCATGCCTGGCCTGCTGCCTCATTTCTATTGGGCACACACGAACATTCGTCCCACCGCGTTTTATTCACAAAAAAAGTTTCGTAAGTTGCTGCCCAGCGGGACATTATATGAAGATATAATGTATATAAATGTATGTAAATAATAATAAGTAATGCATATAAATGTATATAAATCTGTGCTTAATTTGAGCCGGGTCTTGCTGGATCCTATTCCGGGAAATGTCAGATATTCGTGTTTTGCTTACCGGTATTTAATTTAATTGATTCAGCATTATTTTGTTCGCGGTAAATACCTGCGTGTGTGTGAGAGAGAGAGAGAAAGAGAGAGAGAGTGCATGTGAAGACTGTGTGCATTGTGTGTTCACGCATGCATGACAGTATTCACTGTACGCAAGTTAAAGCAAAAGTCACGTTAAAGTATTGGTCCTGAACAATAGTTTAAACCAATCATCTTTCTTAATCTTACAGTAGCTCTCATTAGTTGGTGGTTATTGTTTCATGTGCAATGAGCAGCAAAAATAGATAATGGCATAGTGGCCTACCTAAATAATATCTGTATTTTCAAAATAGCAAAGAGGCAATAAAGCTTATTTTTATTTCTACTATTTAAAACCACAAGTAAATCTAATAATGAGGCTGATCAAACGAGATCTTGAGAAGCTGAAACTGCATCTCTGGATCAGGACAGCGTGTGACAGAAGCGACGCGAGTCAAGTCAGCCACAGAACATGATGGAGGAGCTAATTGTGGGCTCTTCTTGAAGATTAGACAGAGTGAGTCATTTAATTACTATTTTTCACTTGGAAGTGAACTGAAATGGCACTTAGAGAGTTAATGTGAGGTCTCTCACTCTCTCTCTCTCTCTCTCTCTCTCTCTCTCTTTTCACATTTTCACATTTTCACATTTTAGGTGCTTCATTGGCATAACAAATAACTGTACATTCGTATTGCCAAAGCAATGCAGCGTCACTGCGTACAAACAAGACAGTGCAAAAAGGGCAGAAGTAAAAACAAATATGAACATAAAATATAATATAGAAATAAAGAAAATAAAATAAAAAATAAAAATAGATTAATAAAAATATATCAGTAAAACTAAAAAGATTAATAAAAATATATTAATGGTAATTTGTAAAACAGGATAAAAGTGATGGCAATAAATTCAATTTCTCTCTCTCTCTCTTTCTTACAAAGGAAATCAAAGTTATGCGTATGAGGCGGAATAAAAGAGAAGTAAGGACCCAATGCAGCCTAATGTGGTTAATCTGCAGTCATATATCGACACCTGTCCATCAACAATAAGAGTCCCCGGTACCCCAATATTACAGTTTCACACAAATTTGCCCTTTTTAATAAATACCTGTATGTCCCAGCCAGAGAACCTACCGAAAAAGTCAGCGAATGGGTCCTGCCCTCCGAAGAACTCTCGAAACACCTCATCTGGACTGCGGAATGTGAAGGTGAATCCTGGGAAGTCATCAGGAAATGAACCTGAGCTACCTGAGCCTGTAAAAGAAAATACAAGTCCTCACGTATGACAGACCCACAAAGCAGTTTTGCTTAGAAGATCCAAACATGGAGGGTTTAGTTAAAACAAGGCTAAATTTGGGCTGTGAGTGAAAATATAGTACACATTTAACAATAATCCAAAAATAGACCAGTCCTCAAATAGACAGATTAGACAGACTTTACACATGTAATCATTCAGTCCTGTCAATTTAGTAACTATTCTCCTTTTGGACTATTAATAGATTTACACATATTGCCCAGTTAGCCTTGAATTAGCCAAGACGTCTATTAGACTTTTTTTTAAACACAAACAAAAAATGTTGTGTTTGACTAATAAGTCTGTGTGAAGTTCTTCTCACCAGAACTTGGCATGTCTGATCTACCATATCTGTCGTAATCATCTCGCTTGCTCTCTTGGAAAGAAGAAGAAAAAAAAACAAAACAAGTGAAATTCAACACCCAAAGTAACCTAACTCCTTAGGCTACTTAGTTAATGAACTTGCTGTAGAGGTAAAAGTCTCATCTTCTTACTGTCTGAAAGAACTTCGTAGGCCTCTGCTATCTCCTTGAATTTTTTCTCCGCCTCCTCCTTGTTGTCTGGGTTTTTGTCGGGATGCCACTGCAGAGCCAGTTTTCTGTAACTGTATAGACACACATAAATAAACTGATGAGTAAACTTTGCTTGACTGGCATCTCAAGTTTGTGATAAAGTGATATAGAGCAGGGGTTCTCAACTGGTTTGGCCGTGGGACCCACATTTTTACATGGTCATCAAGCCACGACACAAATTTTTAGGAACTACAATACAATTTTAGGAATTATAATTAATTTATAATTATATTATATTAAAATAATTAATTATAAAAATAATTAATTATTTGTATTTGTTTGTTAACAAACGCAAGTAGTGACATAAATCATAGGAAAATCGCCAAAACTTACAAATGAACAATATTTTATTGCTGTCATTTAACAAAATGTATAAAATTATAGAAAAATAACAAAGTAAAAACCACAAACACTGTAAACAGTGGTTTGGGTAAGGAAAGGTTTATTTACCATGAACTAAACTGAACTGTTAATAAAACAAGTTGTCTGGTTTCTAAATGTCGATTTAATTTAAAGGGTTTCGTGCTCTCTTGTGAGAGCACCTCGCTACTTATGACACACTGAGGCTTTAAGTCTTTTTTGTCATCAATATATGTAAAATTCATACTTTACATATTCCGGGTCGTACTTGCACTTCGACATATTTGTTGCTGTAATTAAATAAAAATTCACATGTCAAACGGTGGGGTGGTCGTGCACGCGTTTCAAAATAAAAGTCAAAATAAGCAAAAAATTTAACTTTTGTTGTTTTTTTGGCCACACACTTCGCGACCCACTGAAAATGTTCCCAGGACCCACTTTTGGGTCGTGACCCATCAGTTGAGAAACATTGATATAGAGTATAGGGTCAGGAGCCATTAACATGCAATACAGTCTTGAATACATCTGTTCTGTTTGATAACTGATTTTCTATATGAGTCAAATATGGTTAAAAGATTTCAAAAAGCATCCTGTGTTAAATTACACATTTCCCGGTCACTTTGATCTGTAATTAAGTTTAAAAAATAAGAACACAATTTCTTAAGTCCAAATTAATGGAAAATTTAGAAACATATTTAAGAATTTGATATTAATATTAGCAAGTAAAACCCAAAGTTAACAAGACATAAACCCATTAAAAACAATGTATCCTAATATAGCCTACCATTCAAAGGTTTGAGGGCTTTTAACTTAATAATAAATAGTTTAAAAACTACAAAATGAGTTTCATTCTTTCATTTTCTTTTTGGCTTAGTCCCTTTATTAATCCGGGGTCGTGACATCAGAATGAATCACCAGCTCATCCAGCATATGTTTTACGCAGCGGATGCCTTTCCAGCTGCAACCCATCTCTGGGAAACATTCATACACACTCATACACTGCGGACAATTTAGCTTACCCAATTCACCTGTACCGCATGTCTTTGGACTGTGGGGGAAACCGGAGCACTTGGAGGAAACCTACGCGAACGCAAGGAGAACATGCAAACTCCACACAGAAATGACCCAGCTGAGGCTCGAACCAGCAACCTTTTTGCTTTGAGGCGACAGCACTAAATACTGCGTCACTGTGTCGCTCCAAAAAATGAGTTTGTTGGCCCAAATTAATTCTTAGGAATTTATGTTTAGATATATTTAGCTTCCTGTCCCCTGATGAGGGGCTTTGAGCTCTGATGTACCCCCCAGCAGCTTATTATAGGCTGATTACAAAGGGAAAAGTACCTGGAACGAAGGTGGTAATTTGGGGGTGGTGGAGGGATGTTGGAACAGCTGAGAACGAGGTAAGCAGCTGCATAAATACTCTGGCTGTTGATTGAAATATTAGACGGGCTCGCTCCTCCCTAACTTATGTTTAGGAACATCATTTTGAGTAGCATATTAGAATGATGTCTGACAGACCTTGCAGAAAACCAAGCTTAAAGTCTAAGTGAAATCAAAACTTACAATGTGTATTTTGCTAGCTCATATGCTGGCTAGTTCACATTCTTTATGCGAACAATTAATCTGTGCAAGTTAGTGCACTGAGGAAAAAAAATGTTGTTTTGGTATCTTCCACAGAGAGCTAAAGAGGATACTTAAAGGGAGAATAATGAGCCTGTTTGGAATAACTGGAAACTCTATCACAGATGCTATGCAGGAATGATTCTGTTTCAGTTGGAAGTACATCAACATACTAAAAATAAGTCTCAGCAACTTCCGGATCACACAGACTTTAAAAGTAGATCTTTAAATATATTACAATTTAAATGTTTTACATATTCAAATAGAAAACATCTAAATAATAATAAAAATTCGCCTTATTATTGTGTTTTACTGTAGTTTTGATTAAGGAAAGACTTTTTTCTTAAAGTCAGCATGAAATCAACATGTACAATGTTTATTTTGCTCTCATTGATATTCTTTAGGTGAACGTTTAATCCGTGCATGTTAAATCACTGAAAAACGTTGATGTCAACTTGAGGGCTTCCATAGCAATAGCTACTGCGTATTAATATCCTTAACCATGCCCCTTATACCATTCATTTACACAGTGCCATAGGTATGATATGTATATTTAGATAGATATCTATAGCTCTGAGTTTGGTATGAAGGAGTGATTGGAAGTACATCAACATACTGAAACAAAAGTCTCAGCAATTCCTGGTTCACACCGTCTTTAAAGGTCCCATGAAATCAAAATAAAGTTTTTAGGTTTTAGCATCAGTATTATTCGTTTAGAGCAGTGGTTCTCAATGTGGGGGTCGGGACCCCCCAATGGGTCGCGGGACAATGAAGGGGGGTCGCCTGGTGATTTCCAAATATCTATTTTTATTAAACCATAAGAATTACCATATTTTATCCATAACCAACTGAAAAGAAAAAAAAATAGTTGTTTATAGTTACTATATAGTTACTATAGTAGCTCAAAGTTACTAGTTCTATTGGATTGCGACCCCTGGGGTAATCATTATATTAAAGACTTAGCAATAGCATCAGATGCAGCAGATTGATTTTACAATACCAGGTTAAACTTTCCGGCACATTTACAGCACTTACATAAATAAATAAACGAAGAATAGACTTGGGTCTATTGGTGTGTGTGCGCATTTGCATGCAAGTTTTCTGCATTTATAACCACCTCAGGGGATATTGGGGGTCGCGGGTCACAGGCATTGTTATTTTGGGGGTCACTGGCTGAAAAGTTTGGGAACCCCTGCTTTAGAGGATATCTACAAGCTAGTTTAAACCAAAACAGTGACAAAATTCACATTTAGCAGATATAAAATTGCTATAAACATATAAAGCTTGTAGTTTGTCACTTCCGCCTAAATGGATCAATGTTTTTTTTTCACGTCACCTCATGCTTCCAACCCAGGCTCATTCTGAAAATGTACCTCTATATACATTTCTGGAGAGTGCCAAAAACTTCCTAGGAGCTACATTTTTTTGCAGCTTTTTGTTTAAAAAAATTGACCAGAGGCAGCTGTGTACGCTTTTACAGAACTCAAATTTCTGTCAAGAGTGCTATTCACGCCTGCTGATCTCCAGAGGCCGCTGTCGACTGACTATCGACTGACGAGGGTGTTTTCACACTAGCACTTTTGATCCGTTCGTATGACGTCAGAGTTTGATACTTTTAGCTAGTGTGAACGTGTCTTTTGAACTTACACACTTGTGAAGCATACCCGAGTCAACCTAAAAAGAGGTGGTCTTGGGTACGGTTCACGCGAACTCTGGTCCGGTTCACTTCTGGTATGAATGCAATCGTACCAAATAACGAAAGTGAAACGCCAACTGTACAACACACTATCATTTTCATAAAGTTCATTTGTGTGTATGTTGCCTGATTTTTACCTTTTTTTTCAGATTTTACCACATTCTCACCCTGTTATTTACCTGTTTATTTTATTTTTTGGCTTCTGTTTTGTCTTACTTGCTTTCTGGAACTAATTTTGTCAGACTCAAACCATGTTGTCATAGTCAATTCCTCTCTGCATCTCAAGTCCTTGGACATATATGGTGAGCTAACCGTACAAATTATTTACAAAAGGAAAGCCATCCATAAGGAGGAAAGTGGTCAGCTGGTAAGCGCGAAAAGGAAAGGCATCATACTCCCCTCTAGTGTTCATTTAAAAAAACGAAATGCAGCCATATGCACATCTGGCTACATAGTTCGCAATCTCCAGAAATGTATATAGGGGTACGTTTTCAGAATGAGCATGCTATGTTGCATGCTTTATATTCTCATCAAATTGTGACCAATCAAATTCTCTCTAGTTTCTGGCATGCCCTGTCCTCCTCAAGACACTTCACATTTAATGCGCTTGAGCTCAACCACTCTAACTGGAAGAGCGGTTAAAAAAACAACATTGGCTGTTTTTTAAAAAGAGGAGGAGCTACTCTATGTCCCACCCTCTCTTCATGTTTGGGTTAAGATTACATCAAAAATCGAATAAAAAAACGTACTTTTCAAAGCATTGTAAAGTCTTTGTAAAGTTTAGATCGGATACGCGGCCGGCCGGAAGTGCAATATGCACATCAATATAGCAGCATTTTTCATGAAACTGTACAACAATATTTCATATTTTTAAATTACTGTGACATTAATACACGTTAATAAAGTACAATAAATTGGAAATTGAACAAATAATATAAATAATTCTTGTTAGCTTCCGGCTGCAAGCAACCATATCAGATCAAGCAACAAGCTATTAGCCCCTTTCACACATACAGACCTTTCCGGAAAATTACCGGCAATTTTCCGGAAAGGTTGTATGTGTGAACAGGTCCTTTTTGAAAATACCGGTAAATTCGTTCTGGCTATTTTCCGGAAAGAGAAGTTGTAACATTACCGGCAATTTGCCGGAATGCTGCGCTGTGTGAACGCAGAAGGAAGATTGACGGAATAAGCGCGTGCACGTCTAGAACGTGCTGACGTGAGACGTCCGCTTTAGCCAATCACAACAGTCAGATGCATTTACGTCCGCGCGGTTTATGAGAATAAAAGCCTTTGAATATTTTTCCAGACACATTTAGCTGCTAGAAGTTAGTCAGATCACGTTTATATGTTCTTCTTAATGCCAACTGTATAAATAATCATCGATGAGATGCTTATGACAAGCCGTTGTTTGTTTACCTTCAAGCTTTGCGTGTACCTGTGAAGTGAAACAGCCTGTGAGCGCCTGCACACGCACATATTATGAACATCTCGACATGCGAAAGTGATCCTGCGAAAGTTGTTCACAATATTGATCATCCACAGAGTTTGTAATTTAGTCAAATGTTTACAAATACAAGCGCAGCCGTTTAAAGCTCATTTGTGGTGAATGATGTCAGAATTTACCGGTATTTTGGAATGGATGTGTGAATGCTCTTTTCCGAAAAATTTCCGTAACGTCCTCGCCTGTGTGAACAGTGCTTTTTTGAATATACCGGTAAAGTCGTTCCGGAAATTTTCCAGATATTTACCGGTATCACTGTGTGAAAGGGGTTAATGTCTTTCACTGTTGATGACATTTTTTTAAATTAAACAATAACAAGTCTAGAAGACTTAATGACAAGTGTTCATTGGCATTTGTCTGAGACAAATATAGTAACATTCAGCAGAAACAATGCCAAAGGCCATCATCTCATACTGCAGGGCACTGATAAGCAAAGGCAGTTTCGACTTACGCTTTCTTGATGTCATCTGGAGAAGCACTTCGTGACACTCCCAGAACATCATAGTAGTCCACCATCGCGCCCTTCAGCTTACTTCAGCACCTGTTACTCACATGTATAATTTTTTTTTTTTTAAAGAGTAATGACCTCATCCTTAAATCCTTAAAATGTGTCAAGAGGTGTTTCTAAAATTCTTTGGATTTTCAGACCTGTTGTTTAATGTCAGTTAGTCACCTTATCACAATCAGGGATCTGTGTTCATTCAGCACTATCGCCGTGACAACATACAGTACATAGGGTTTTGCATATGGTTTGGTAAAACTATAATGGCTAACCCTCAAATATGTTTTCACCTAGAAGAGATTAAGTAGAATTTCAAACAATATTTTTATGGGGACCATAAGTTTTAAGGCCTTCTAAATATATTATTATATATTTAATTTTTAGTCAATAATTTTTCTAAGAATTAAAAACAAAGTATTTCCTTTAAAATATGGTATTATTTTACTTAATAATTACTAATTAATTATTAATAATTAAGTGCTTAATTATTATTCTTTTTTGTCAATTACTTTTCTAAGAATTATAAACATTTTAAAGTCCCCATGAACCAGAAGCTGTGATCGTTATTTTTTTCGTATTGTGACGCAGTTCCTAGAGAAACAGAATATTAAATGACACAACAGTGAGCATGGCTTGTTTTTCTACTGCAAACTGAATGGATGTAGTAAAGTAGGCATTTCATTCAGAAAGATGGGGGAAAGGGTTTGGGAGCAATGTGAGCTAGCAATGCGATATCATATGGCTAATTTTGATTTCTTAGAGACTTTAAAACATTGTGTGTATTGTGTTCAGGCCATTTTTTAAGTCAAAATACTTTTTTGTTAATCATTTATTAAGTTATATAACTATTAAAAACACGGATTAGCCACTGCAGAATAAAACAATAATATTTCTGGGGGGCTGTGAAAGTTGGTAGAACTTTACTCTGCCTTTATTATAACTTTATTATATGTCATTTTCCCCATTTTTCTTTAGTAATTATTATTGTAAGTACAATTAATTTTGATAATTATTTATAATAACCTAAAACCTTAACTGCACTCTGACCCAAACTGTACATTATGTATATGTATTGTGTTTATTAATTTAACTATGGAATATTAGTAATAGTTACATTGTAACAAGGGCACTGTGAAATAACATTATACTGAGAAATTTGATGCAAGTTAAATTAACTTTGTCAACGTTTTACACTGATATTAATATCATTTCGAAGTTGTTTTGTTAAACCTAAATTTCATAATGTGACCAGCTAAGTAATAAAAATAATGACATTCCATTCATTTAAGTGTGTGTGTGTGTGTGTGTGTGTGTGTGTGTGTGTGTGTGTGTGTGTGTGTGTGTGTGTGTGTGTGTGTGTGTGTGTGTTGTGGGGGATTCCAAAGAACAACCCCTCACTGACAAAGGTCCAAAATTTGTCTCATACATGAGCTCATTTATTCATTTTCTTTTTGGCTCAGTCTCTTTATTAATCTGGTGTCGCCACAGTGGAATGAACCGCCAACTTATCCAGCGTATGTTTTACACAGCAGATTGCTCTCCAGCAGCAACCCATCACAGGGAAACATCCATACACACTCAATCACACACATACAATATGGCGAATTTAGCTTACCCAATTTAACCTGAGCAACTGGAGGAAACCCAGCAACCTTCTTGCTGTGAGGCGATTGTGCTACCCACTGCGCCACTGCATCCCCTTTATGAGATCATCTGTGCTATTTTGACTGCTGTGCCATAATGAACTGTCAAAATAACCTATCGAAAAAGGTTTTAAGACCACAAGGAATCCCATGTTGTTGTTGGTACAAGATTTGGGACACCGAATTTGGCAATTTTTAATGTGCTTACCAGTTTGTTAATTAAATGATAATAGGCTATACTTTTGTTGTTTAAAAACTTTAACAGATTCCTTTTTTTTTCTAATGATATAAGATGTAATAAATTTTATTTTTAAATTAAGTATTGTTTATTTTTGTATATTATTGTATTATTTCTTTATTCTAAATGCTTGGGCAATGTTCTTGGTACATCAGAAAGTGTGGTTTTGATCAGATCCAAGGCAGCTTTATGAATGAGAGCAACTGAACTGTTGCTGAAGATAACAGTTATTACAAGCTGTTGGACTTAGATAAATTGACTGAATATAGATTGGTATTCCCCTGGCGTGTGGCCTGGCCATGCCTGGAACTTTCTGGAAACCGGACACAATGTGCTGTTATTTCAAGGCAAGCCCAAAGTTGAAAGGCGATTTGAGTGGGCCACATGGCCACTGACAGCTGCTGCTGCTGAAACGCGTGACCATCACAGAAACACACACACACACACACACACACAACTCCATATAAATACAGTATTTCACAAATCCAGCAGTCCGGAGGGCCGCCTCGTTATATTAACTTTTACCTTTTTTAGAAGTATATCCAGACAGGAGGAGCTGAGCCTCTGTGGTATGAAGCCAGGGGAGCGACAGTCCGTCCGACTCCCAAGACGCGGATCACAGGAACTGACGCTCTGGTAACGTGCGCGTGAAATTGCTACGGAGTTCCGTCAGAATCACCCGTTTACCGACGGCACAGCGCGCTTCATTGCGTTGGGTTGTAACCGAACCTCAACTTCTATATGTGTCCGTCCTAGTCTCTCTCGGCTGTGAATGCGGTGCGTCACAATCAGCTTAGCTGCAGTCAGTCTGAAAACAGAGCCATTCCAGAACATGCCCATGTTTGCGTACGTCACTCACGAGCCACGCCCACTAATGCCCGACCGCGCTATCTTCAGAAGCGCGAGAACTACAGTCAGTGTACTGATTGCTGTCTTTTACAGTATATGAGTGCTATGTGTTGGGTTTTACACAGAGCAGTGAATATGATTATAAGCTACTCTTGTGGCCTCCATCATGATAAAATATAAAAGTATCTGTTGGCTTTCATTTATAAAGAGCAGGCCTACATATTACATAATTACACAGTAACATTTTTTACTTATTAGTATTCATACTGCTAACTTTACTCATTTATTTGACCATTTATATTATAATTTTTTTGTATAATGTTTATTTTTATTTAGTGTGTATCTGGTTTTATTAAGTTATTTAAAGCAAACTTTGGATTAGGCTATTTTATTTAATCCTAGGATTTTTTATTTATTTTAAGATTTAATTATCCGATTTCTGATTATTATTTATTTATTTGTTTGTTTGTTGTTTATACCAGTGTATTTATCTCAATAACCATCTATTATTTACATTATTTATTAGGATTTATTATTAGTAGTAGCAGTAGTATTAATGTTGTTGTTGTTGTTGTTGTTGTTGTTGTTGTTGTTGTCTGTAAACATGCACCCCCAATCTCTTTTTTTGAAGACCCATGGGTTTAACAAGGGTATCGTGTCCTATTACACTCCAAATACCTAATGAAAAGCTAAATTTAAAAATGTCATAAAAGCAGGCACTTCCCCAAAAAAAATGCGGGCAATGAAATTACAATTAAAACATTTAAATCACTTCTTAATAAAGAAGAATTAGTCAGAACAAGGAACTGAATTTAGAAATGTTTAATAATTTTGGTAGAACCGTTGCATGTCAAAATATCAAAATAAAAGAGCAAGTTTAAAGGGCAAACGAAAATATTGTTAAATGTTTTTGTCTTGGTCCTGGAAACTGCACAGCAAAAAGCAAAAGCAACATTCCTCCAGCAGATGGCGCTGCGAGACACACTGGTAGGTTGGTTTCAGAAGGAGGACAGTGAAGCTAAAGTTTTTCTTTTACTTCAGTCTTTAATTCTGTCAGGATTCTCCAATGACAATGCCATTCATACTGTACAACTGCACATCCTTTAATCGCTTATATCTAAATTTTCTCAAATTTACTTTTTCGAGGTGTGTTCAACTGATGGAGGTGACGCTGACGCTGCCCTCTCTATTCTATCATCTATGCGCGAATATATCTGAGGACGCGGGTGGTGAGGGAGGTGTTGCAGACGCAGCCCTCTCTATACTGCTGCCCTAGGCGGCCGCCTAGGTCGCCTCTATGGGCGTGCCGGCCCTGTCCTTAGCCCCAATGCAGCTAGGTAGAGATGATAGGCCAGATTTCTCTTTCTCTCACAAGTATGCAGGGGATCATCCACCCAGTCACGGACAAAGTCATTCTTTGGGCCTTGCCCATGAGAGGTTGATTTTAAGATTAATAGAGACTACTCAGAATGCGTGAGCAGTTTCAACATACTCTGTATATGACAAGAAATTAAATGTGTTTAAGCTATGATGGACATAGAGCATATCTGCATGCCATGTGGGGATCAATAGAAAGACTATTGGTCTTCACCCACTTGTGTGCAGGTTTATGAGAGGAGAGTGGTGTATTAACAAACCTGCAAAGGCACTGATTCCATGATGGGATTTGTTGGTAGCCCTTAACGTAATTTGGAGTGTCTCTTGCTCCATTGTCTTTACCTGGTCCATGCGTTAAGTCACTACGTGGACAGGATGAAAGAGCTAAGGAAGAGTTATCAATTATTTGCATCATGGTCTGATTCTAAACCAATCTCTCTTCAGCACTTATACTAGTGGGTGGTGGAAGCGTAAACGGACAAGTGGTGCTCGCTGCAGAGCCATTTGGACGAGCTGAGCTCCAGCGAGGGGGAGCTTGAGCTTGAGCTCCACCTTTTTTGCACTTCTTCTACGAGTGATGTCACTGAGGGTGGGGTTGGTGTACGCATTAAAACAGCTTACAGGAGGCAGAGCGAGAGCTCATGCTCCCCCTCGCTGGAGCTCAGCTCTGCTCAAATGGCTCTCTAAACGGATGAACGAAGTTAGAGACCGCAGGTGGTAGCATATATATCGGAGGCGGCCCTCTGTGTCACTGCCATGATTGGCCTGTCAGCTGACAGACATGGTGTGATTGGTGCTTCCAGCATTGGTCACGGCCAAGCCGATTCCCAATGACTACGTTTACAAGGACATCAGTAATCGAATTATGTGCCTAATCTATTTAAGACACTAATAGAATTAAGGTGTTTACATGAGTTGCTTTTTGAATGTTCCTTTCATGATCTTGTTTTACATGTTAAAGCACATAATGCCAGCAGCTAGCTCTCTGCAACTCTCACATGGTCGCCCACTGAAGCTAAGCAGGGTTGCGCCCGGTCCGTACCTGGATGGGAGACCACATAAAGCTAGGTTGCTGCTGAAAGTGGTGTTAGTGAGGCCAGCAGGGGGCGCCCAACCTGCTGTCTGTGTGGGTCCTAATTCCCCAGTATAGTGACGGGGATTCTATCTAATTGTTAAGTGTGACATCACGCGAAGCGGCTTCTGGGTCCAAGCGTTCTATTCAACTGAATGGGGAGACTCATGAAATGGTACTAATAAACGTTTACAAAGTGATTTAATGCTTTCGAAAATCATGATCGCAGTATATATGTCCATGCCTAATATCCGATGGCCAGAAAGTGATACATTTTTTTTATAAATTGTTACATTTTTGGTATTTGTAATGCAGCAAGCCCAGAGATAGTTGTGTACACTATGATTTTATATAAAATTAACTTTAATGTGTGACAGGAATAAAACGCGATCATAAACGAATGATTTCTCCACTCAAATGAATGGCGGCTTGGACTCGGAAACAGTATACATACGTCACAAACACGTCACCACTTAACAAGCGGATACTGCTCAGTGAGCGATGTCTTTCGGATGAGATGTTAAACCGAGTTCCCGACTCTCTGTGGTCGCTAAAAATCCCAGGATGTCCATCGCAAAGAGTAGGGGTTTAAGCCCAGCATTCTGGCCAAATCTGCCCACTGGCCTCTGTCCATCATGGCCTCCTAACCATCCCCATATTAAATTGGCATCATCACTTTCTCCTCTCCACCAATCAGCTGGCGTGTGGTGTGCGGTCTGGCACAAAATGGCTGCCGTCACATCATCCAGGTGGATGCTGGACACTGGTGGTGGATGAGGAGATCCCCCCATTATGTAAAGCGCTTTGAGTGCCCAGAAAAGTGCTATATAAATGTAAGGAATTATTATTATTATAATTCGATTAACTTTCACTTTCATTCAGGAACATTTCATGCATGCCCCCATGACAAACGAGATGTTGGATGCGAGTATGAACTATAGGAATACATGTATATACTTGTAGTGTTGTATGTGATTAACAGTTCAAAAAAGTAAACAGGAAGACAAGAATACAATTATACAAATAATGGCAAGAGACTGCATTTTCATACACAAGAGATATAGAGGCAAATGAGGAAGAGAATTTAGTTAATCATGTAAACTAACAAGGGTAATTATGGCAAGGATTTAAATCCATGGGGATCGACTGTTCGGAAAACGAAGAAAAAACATTCAACTAAAGCCCTGTTTAGACCACATGGTTTTTATTGTCAGTTATGACAGTTGCTGGGCTTGTTTACACCTGCTAACTTTTGTTAAACGGATATTCGTTGACACTGTTCTTCAAATGGAAACACAAAGTATTCAAAGTATGTTTTTTTACAAGCCATATCAGTTTGTTTTTATTAAGCACCCAATAATTATTTTGTGTTGATTGCCAACCCTTATCTCATTCTATATTAAGCTTTTACTACTTTTATGGTCTGAACTGGAAAACGGTGTTAAACAAACATATGTGGCCATTTACATCAGCCTTTAGAACTAACTAGCTAACCCTTTTAGAACTGTTTATATACAAATTTTCAACCATACCATAGTAGAGAGCTTGAATTAATCTATTGTGGTTAATTCTGTAGGGTACAACTATAGTAATGTGAACAAATTACACAAGACTGTAGTTTTCTACAACTGTAAGGTACACTACTCAAGGATTGTAACAACTAAAGTATAGTATTTATAACAGTATACTCTATACTCTAGTGCAGTGGTTCTCAAACTGTGGTATGTGTATCCCTAGTGGTACACGGGCTTCCTTCTAGTGGTACACAGAGGAATCAAATATGTTATATATATATATATATATATATATATATATATATATATATATATATATATATATATATATATATATATATATATATATATATATATATATACACATGCAAAATATATTTCAAAACTTATCACAAATTATTTATGTATGAATATGATGACACAGACACATAGCCTATATTTATGAGGTCCACGCAACATTTCCTGGTTTTGATGAATGGTTAATATGATATGATATCTTAATACTTTACATTTAAGTCTAGGAGTTTTTAACTTTTTAAGAACAGTAGTCTACCATTTTTATTACCTTTTAAAAGCACATTTTAATTAAATCGTTGACATTTTATTTGGTTTGTCTGTTTATTTTTATCTGCAAGCACAGTACAGTGTTAATGTTCAAACTATTTATAATGTTTAAAGTGTCTGACAATAAAATATATTCAATAATATTAATATAATAATAATAATACGAGTTAATCTGCCTGGTTTTTGAACTGTGCACAACTTTTTAGCTACTTAATTAGACCTACTACTCTACTGTATTTCAAGACTGGTCATATGGTGGTACTTGGAGAGACAATTTATTTCTGAGGTGGTACTTGATGAAACATGTTTGAGAACCGCTGCTCTAGTTAATACTTCAGTATGTAATTTTCAGCAGTAATTTTATTATTACATGACAAATAACTCCTGAACTTACCACA